TTCATAAGTACAACTTTTGGATTACAGCAGTTATTCCCCCCATACCCGCCCTCCCACCCCCAAACCATCCCACCTGCTACTCCCTCTCCCATCTCATTCTTCATTGAGATTCATTTTTAATTATATACAGAAGATCAACTCTATACTAAGTAAAGATTTCAGCAGTTTGCACCCACACAGACACACACAGTATAAAGTATTGTTTGAAGACTAGTTTTACTGTTAATTCGCATACTACAACACATTAAGGACAGAGATCCTACATGGGGAGTAAGTGCACAGTGACTCCTGTTGTTGATTTAACAATTGACACTCTTATTTATGACGTCAGTGATCACCTGAGGCTCTTGTCATGAGCTGCCAAGGCTATGGAAAACTCTTGAGTACACAAACTCTGACATTATTTAGACAAGGCCATAATTAAAGTGGAAGTTCTTTCCTCCCTTCAGAGAAAGGTACCACCTTCTTTGATGGCCCGTTCTTTCCACTGGGATCTCACTCACAGAGATCTTTCATTTAGTGTTTTGTTTTTTTTTTTTTTTTTTGCCACAGTGTCTTGGTTTTCAGGCCTGAAATGTTCTCATGGGCTTTTTAGCCAGATCTGAATGCCTTAAGGGCTGATTCTGAGGCCAGAGTGTTGTTTAGGGCATTTGTCATTCTGTGAGTCTGCTGTGTGGCCCATTTCCCATGTTGGACTGTTCCATCCTTTTTAATTCTATCTATTTTTTATTAGCAGACACGACACTTGGTCTTATATATGTGATCCCTTTGACACTTAATCCTATCTTTATGATCAATTATGAACTTAAACTTATCACTTTAACTAGTAAGATGGCATTGGTACCTGCCAGCTTAATGGGATTTGGAGTCCCATGGCAACTTTTTTTAGTTTTACCCTTAGGGGCAAGTCTGAGGGAATGTCCACACAATTTTGATGACTTAAAAATCAGCCATTAAAATTTCTATGAGTATTTAAACATGATCTGGTCACTCATGGAGTTATTACAATCTAAGTTGTACATTCGGTGTCTCATTTAATCCTGAAAACTATCACACTGGACTGTTACTGATACTTTTTTTTTTTTAAGATTTATATATTTGAGAGGGCGAGACAGAGAGGTCTTCCATCTTCTTATTCACTCTCCAGATGGCCACAAAGGCCAGAGCTAGGCCATTCCAGAGCCAGGAGCAAGGAGTTTCTTCTGGATCTCCTATGTGGGTGCAGGAGCTCCAGCACTTGGGACATCTTCTGCTCTCCCAGGCTATCAGCAAGGAACTGGATCAGAAGTGGAGCAGCTGAGATGCAAACCAGTGCTCATATGGGATGCCAGCCTTACAGGCGGAAGCTTAACCTAGTATGCCACAATACCAGCCCCCTTATATCTGTTTAATAGATGAAACTGAGGCACATAAAAATGAATATGTCCAGGGTTTGCAGTGTAAGTGAAAATCTTGAATTTAATTATATGCCCTCTGATTTGACCCCTTTATCTTAACCCATTTTGCTGTCTTTTGGCTCCCATTCAATGTGTTTCTCGTCTCTCACACTCTTTAGACTTACTTTATTTCTTACTGTATTACTGTAACATTTTGCAAAGGTAACTTTAAAAGCAAGCAGGGTGACCAGATGTCTTGGTTTGCCTAGGACTGCCCAGCTCCACACAAGTTCTGTGTCTTAGAAACCTCTGTGTTCTGGCTAGACTGTCATCTCCAATTTATTCCTTCGCCAATAGTATCCTCGCATCTCAATTTATTCCTGATCCCTTAACCCTTGATGTGAGGCTCAGAGATGGAGTTTAAGGGCAAGGAATTATTTATTATAAAGGATTCTTCTTTATATGGCCATTTGAAAACATCTTTGTCATAATGTAAAAATACTACATACTTTCCTGTGTGCCTGAGTACTTTCTCATGCTTATAAAATATACAGAGAGCACTGGAATAATACTAAACTAGATGAGAGTGGGAATGGAATGGGGTACAAACTACATTCACATTTTGTTATATTGTTATGCATTTGAAATTTTTATCAGAATTTTAAAGTATTAGTGAAAAACAGCATTTAAAAATATTTTGCAGCATTTCAAAATATGATGTTAATATGTTAAAATAATAAGCTCATAAATTAAGACCAGAGAATATGTGTTTTTTAAAGATTTATTTTTATTTATTTGAAAGAGAGTTACAGAGAGAGGTAGAGTTAGATAGAGAGGTCTTCTGTCCGCTGGTTCACTCCCCAAATGGGCACAGCAGCTGTAGCTGCACTGATTCGAAGCCAGGAGCCAGGAGCTTCTTCTGGGTCTCCCATGTGGCTTCAGGGGCCCAAGGACTTGGGCCATCTTCCACTGCTATCCCAGGCCATAGCAGAGAGCTGGGTTGGAAGAGGAGCAGCCGGGACTAGAACCGGCGCCCATGTGGGATGCCTATGCTTTAGGCCAGGGCTTTAACCCACTGAGCCACAATGCTGGCCCCAGCATATGTATTTTTGTTCAGTTATACAATAGAAGCTGTAGTCTATACATCTCTTTCTCATTATAGCAAGATAGAGGAGGAAGGAAGCAGAGGTGTGAGGGTGAAACAGGCTGTGGCAGAGAGAAATAGAATAGAAGAAAAGATAAGTCACAGAGAGACTCTGGCTTGGGTATTTGATTGGATTTCTTATTTAGGACTTACTGTCATTTGTATAAATTGGGTTTCATCAAGGTGGCATGTACCAATGCCATCTCACTAGTCCAAATGATCAATTTCAGTTCACAATTGATCACACTGATAGGTCTAAGAGGCAAAGGGATCACACAAACAAGTCTAGTGTCTGCTAATACTAGCTGATAGAATAAAAAAGGGAGAGAACGATCCATCATGGGAAGCAGGATACACAGTAGACTCATAGAATGGCAGATGTCCTAAATAGCACTGTGGCCTCAGAATCAGCCCTTAAGGCATTCGGATCTGGCTACAAAGCCCATGAGAGCTTCGCAGGCATGGAAAGCCGAGACACCCTGGGGGTGGGGGGGGGATGGAAGACCTAAATGGAAGATCTCTGCGAGTGAGATTCCAGTGGAAAGAACGGGGCCATCAAAGAAGGAGGTACCTTTCTCTGAAGGGAGGAGAGAACTTCCACTTTGACTATGACCCTGTCGGAATAAGATCGAAGTCCGCGACTCAAAAGCTTCCATAGCTGCCAACTCATGACTAGAGCCTAGGGAGATTACTGACCGCCTATAACTAAGAGTGTCAAATGATAAGTCAACAACCAGGAGTCACTGTGCACTTACTTCTCACATGGGATCTGTCATTAGTGTGTTGTCCAATGTGAAGTAATGCTATCACCTAGTACTGAAACAGTATCTTACACTTTATGTTCTGTGAGGGTGCAACTTGATGAAATTCTTTACTTAATATATACTGAATTGATCTTCTGTATATAAAGATAATTGAAAATGAATCTTGATGTGAATGGAGTGGGAGATGGGAGGGATGTGAGTGAGAGGGAAATTATGGGGGGGGGGGAGCCATTGTAATCCATAAACTGTACTTTGAAAAATTTATATTTACTAAATAAAAAATAAAAAAATAAATTGGGTTTGATTTCTGGGTTCTAGTTTGTAGGAGTCATAGGGGAGTTACAAGATACATGAATTAAGATAAAATAACCTTTTTACTTTTAAAAGGTTCAACAATGTATTTATGGTTTATTCAGCTTTCTACAAAGAAAGAATTCACCCCTCTGAAAGAGGCTGCACCTGAAGCATGTATTAACATTTAGTTCAGTTGAAAAGCATGTGGAAGTGCTGTCCAAAGGGACTTAGGTCTGTTCTGATCGCAGCATCAGTAAATGCATCTTGCTGAACTGTATTTGGTGTCTGATTTAGCAGACATTTGATAATATGGCAGAGTTTGATATGATTACATTTTCTATGATTGGCATCATTAGATACTGACATTAGATACTGACCACACAGAATTCAGGTAAGCACCTTCAAATGTCATCACATTAAGGAGTAGAATAAATGCTACTTTAATAAAAATTACTTATCATTAATGCTGTTAATACATGTTTTCAGTTTGTGTATTTCTTCTGTGGGACATGGGGAGTCTTTAGGCTGAATCTGCTTGACTAAGCAGTTAAGGGCTTTGACTAAATGGCTTTGTAATCACAAATCAGAACTCATAACGTAGCTTCACTTGATGCTAGCCATAGCTCATATGGATGTGGGGAGAACTGGTGAGTTAGATTGTTGTTGTTTTTCATTGTGTTGGCTTCGCACAAACTCTGGCTCACTTGGCACTTCATAATTTTCATTTAAGGCATATGATTTTACTATTTGGTTTAAATCTTTAAGATCTTTGTTGGTGGTTTGCAATGAATGAGTTCAAAGAGATTCCAACTTTCTTAACATTTGTGTTATATATGTTACTAACTTTTGAATGTTTGACTTTGATATTCTTTTTATGTTAAAAGGGTTGGTATTTCTTTATTACAAAGAACTGCAAAAGAGGATATTGCCTTACCTTACAAAATAAGATTTAGGTTTGATTTACAACCACCACCAATAAACATTTCTGTAAGTCTATATTTTATAATAGCAATAGATCTCCAAGAGAATTATTGAAAAACACCTGTACACCCAAATATCTAGAAGAAGATGCTCACCTTTTGGGATTATTTAAATCACATTTTATTTTTAAAAAGAAGAAGAAGATTGATATTTGATTTAAAAACTTGCTTAGGCTTTAGTTCTAAGAACTTACACAAGATGGCTCTTAAAGCTGTAGTATTCTTTGGAAAGTCAATAATTTTATCATCAGTAAATGTTTGATAAAACATGCTTCTTTTTATAACTGAAGCTATGGGGTTTCTAAGTACTGAAACTTCTATTAACTACAACTTTGTTCTCTTTCCAAAATACCCTATTGAGGAGTCGATAATTTCTGAAAACAAAATGTTCCTACTGTTGAAGAATATTGAATAACTGTATCATTTTTCTTTTAATATGCAGTTGGAGAATTTGATGCTGGATAAAGATGGCCACATAAAAATTACAGATTTTGGACTTTGCAAAGAAGGGATCACAGATGCAGCCACCATGAAGACATTTTGTGGCACACCAGAATATCTGGCACCAGAGGTAGGCTTCAGTTCCATTCATAGCAAAAATCAACTATACATTACATTTTGGAAAGAGAGCTATTTCAGCATTATGAAAAAAATTGTAGTACCTACTACTTTTACTTGTATTTCATCATGAATTAAACTTATTTTATGCTCACTTATTTAATATGTTGTTATAGGGTCAAGAATATAGAAATTAAATATTAAAACTTTTATAAGCACAAAGGTGCTAATTAAGGTAGATAATATCAATTTTATTTCTTATTACACCCATTTTGATTTACTAGAATAAATTGAGTGAATGACTTTAGCAAGAATATGTGTAGGTTTTTAAACCACCTTTGACCCTCCTTAGAAACAGATTATAGTGATTTGGGCTCATAATATTGTGGGTTTGTCATACTTAATTATTAGAAATTGTGTCAGTGTGAAAGTTATTGAGATAACTAGCTGCATCTTGGAATTCATGTCAAAGCTAGCTTCAAACCACCAACCTTGTACTAAGGATTCCATACTAATTTACTAATTTGTTTATTCAACAAATATTTATTGTCTGTCTACTAAATACTGGATATTTTTCTAGGTGATAGGATTACAGGAACAAGGCAGAAGAGGATCCTACTATTTAAAAAAAAAAAGATTTATTTATTTATTTGAAAGGCAGATTACAAAGAGGCAGAGGCAGAGAGAGTGAGAGGTCTTCCATCCGCTGGTTCACTCCCCAGATGGCCATAACAGTTGGAGCTAAGTCAATCTGAAGCCAGGAGCTTCCTCCTGGTCTCCCACGTGGGTGCAGGGGCCCAAGGACTTTGGGCCATTTTCCACTGCTTTCCCAGGCCATAGCAGAGAGCTAGATCAGAAGTGGAGCAGCCGGGACTAGAACCAGGCCCACATGGGATGCTGGCACTGCAGGCCTTACCTCTCACATCACAGTGCCAACCCCAATGACCCTACTCTTAGTTTTAGTGGAGGAAAACAGTAAAAATGAGTAAATAACCCAATGTTTTACATTGCATGGAGGAAAACAAAAGGCATGATAAAGACAAGAATGTGGTATGGTGGTTATTTTGGTCTGTTCCAGTTACTATTGCTATGTAACAAATAACTCCAATACTGAGTGGTAAAAAACAGCTACTTTATATGATTGTGAGTTTTCTGAATCAGGAATGCAGATAGGAATAGGTTAGGGGTAGCCTATTTCTGCTCCCCTTGTATACAGAGCTCCGTTGCAAAGTCATTACAGTGAAGTGACTCTGGCTGGAGGCTGGGGTCAACTGGAAGCATCTTCACTTGTGTGTTGACCCTTGCTGCTGGCTGTGCATTGGTACCTTATTAGGGCTGTTGAGAGGAGGACTTGCAGGGGCCCCTCCATTGGCCTGGGATTCCTCATTATGACAACTTCAGTTCTTTGGCTCTGAGTGTTGAAAGTAGACATTCTTGGAATGACTTAGAAGCTGCATTGCCCTCGCCCATTTTTTTTTTTTTAATCTGGTAAGAAGTTAAAAGTTTATTAACTTTTCAGGAGTGTATTTTCATGGTATGTTTTTTAGAATTGGAGTACAGTTTACATGCCATCATATTCATTCTTTGAAAGCATACAATTTGGTGATTTTTAGTCTGTTCACAGAGTTGTGCCACCGTAATTGCTATCTAATTCCAGAATATTTCTTCATTCCAACAAGAAACCTCACACTATTAGCTCCTGGTTTCTCCCTTCCCCCACAGGCAGCTGTTGATACACTTACGTCTATAGATTTGCCAATTCTCGATACTTCATTCAAATAGATTTGTGCAATGTGGAGTTTTCTCTGTGTTGTTTCTTTCACTTAGCACATCTTCAAGGATCCTGCCTGTTTTTGGAAGTATACAGCTACTTCATTCTTTCCCATGGCCAGGCAATACTTGTTGTATGGACATACCACACTTTCTTTATTCATTCAGTAATAGACAGATGTTTGAGCTTCATGCTTTTTTTTTTCCCTATCATGAATCGTGCTGCTAGAACAATCGTGTGTGCATCTCTTTTGATAGCCTGGTTTGAGAAGTCACGGGGCATCTTTTGTGTCATGTGCTGATTCCTTGAAGCAGTTGTAACCCTGTAAGGATTCACAAGATGGAGACCTAGGTCCTGTCTCTCCGTTGTAGGAGAGCATGTGAACTGGGAGATAGCCCTGCAGCCATCGTTGGAAAGTAAAATCATCCACAGACATGGTGATCAGAAAAAGTTATATTTGCCCACAGATCTGAATGATTAGGAGATAGCTATTGCTGAGATACAGAGGAAGCGCTTGCTAAACAGAGAGAAACGTTATGCAAATAACAAATTCAGTTTTGCCCTGAAACTCCAAGGTTAATGTGATTAGAGCCAAATGGGGAAACCTTAATCTTCGACGGGTGAGGGTTCCTATTTATTGAGCATCTGCTGTGTGCCACATGCTGTATTAAGTGCATTGCATCTATTATTTTGTTAATACTTGGAATAACCTTTTGTGATAGATGACAAACCTGGTTTCTTTTTAAAGATGAGAGAACAAAGTATCAGGATTATATATATTTTTTAATGACATCTATATACAACTAAGAGGAGGTGGTACAGGAATAATCAGGCTCATACTAGGTTTGACCACAAAGCCCACTGTTTTTTTGTTTGTTTTATTTATTTATTTATTTATTTGAAAGGCAGAGTTAGAGAAGAAGAAGAAGAAGAAGAAGAAGAAGAGAGAGAGAGAGAGAGAGAGAGAGAGAGAGATCCTTCATCTGCTGGTTCACTACCCAGGTGGCTACCATGACAGGGCTGGGCCAGGCCAGAGCCAGGAGTTTCTTCCAGGTCTCCCATGTGGGTTCAGGGACCCAAGTAATTCTGCCACCTTCTGCTGCTTTCTCAGGAACATTAGCAGGGAGCTTGATCAGAAGTGGAGCAGCTGAGACTAGAACTGGACCCCATGTGGGATGTTGGTGCTGTAGGCCATACTTTCAGCCCGCTGCACCACAGTGCCAGCCCCACAAAGCCCACTTTTTAAACTAATGCACAATGACCTCAGAATCTCATTTTCAAGGCTACTTACAGATATCAAATTCCTAATTTTTTTTCTTCATTTTATTTGAAAGGCAGAGAGACAGAGCCATCTCTTTGATCTGCTGGTTTACTGTCTAAACGCCTACAACAGCCAGTGCTGGGCCAACTTGAAACCAGAAGCCTGGAAATCAATCTGGGACTCCCTTGTGGGTGGCAGGGACCCATCTGCTTCCTCCCAGGGTGCACAATAACAGAGCTAGGATTGCAAGCAGAGCCAGGACCCAAAGCTAGGCACTCTGAAATGGGGTGTGGTTATCCCACTGCACTAAATGCCTACCCCAGTAATTGTAATTTTGAAAATAGATGTTTTGGGGGTGAGCATTATAGCATGGCAGGTTAAAGCTGCCATTTTTGATGCCTGCAACCCACATTGGAGTGTCTGTTCAAGTCCCATCAACTCTGTTTCTGATCCAGCCCCCTCTTAATGTTTCTGGGAGGAGTTGGACAGTAACTCATCTACCTGCCACAAGCAGATGGAGTCCAGGCTCCCGGCTTCAGCCTCGACCAGCCTTGGGGCATGGCCCTTTGGGGAGTGAACCTGCTCATGGAAATTTTCTTCTCTCACTCTGCTTTTTAGTCAATCAATAAATCTTTAAAAACAAACAAAAATATGCTTTGTAAATGCTTAGCAAGAAAAGTTAATTAGAAAGTAGGGTAAATTCACAATATTAGCATTCTTATGTAGATAATAACTCATGCTGGCTTACTACAGGTTTTTTTCCAACTAGGAATTAAATTTCCATTTCAAAAACATTGAGTTGTAAATAAGTGCTAATATTTAAGACAGTAAATATCCAACTATTATTTCCTTGCCAAAAATATCATTTTATCTGTTATAAAAGAGTTTAAAATCCTCTATTTTTGTGGTTGAATTAGGTAGAATTTTAGAAACACTGTTCGTTGTTTATTCAAATACAAGATCATATTTTCTGGAATAGGATTGTTTGTGTGAATGTCATGAAAAACAAATCTTTTGTTTCTCTGGAGTTCAATTACCCCTACTATACATTTGCCATGAATGATGATATCCCACATTTAGCACACCCAAATTAGTTGTGTCACAATTAGGGGAAATTATTTCTGAAGAAGATAAATACATCTCATTTCAGAAGCGGATAATCTCCTACAAAACAAAGATCCTATTTTCTATGCAAATGTCATCTTGTGAAGAACAAAACGAAGAATGTAATGCAAGAAGAGTTCAATTGTTTCTAAATAGGAAGTTTATAATTCACAAGAAATTGTCAGTTTCTTTTTGAAGAAAAACATTTCTGTATACCTTTTATGAAAATACTACAAAAATCTGGTCTTTAGAAGCAGTTTATATGCCCAACCATGAAATGTTGATTCACAATTTAAATCTTAACACCTTATTTTTATGGGAGAAAGTAATCAGTGTAGTTACTCTTTGTGAATGGCAAATCTCAAAACTAACTTTTCATACAATTTTAATTCTCATATTTTAAATATTCATGTTTTTATACTGCATTTATTTAAATCAGTGTCCCTTGAAGTGCCTGTATCCTATTTTGAAAAGAATTTAAACATTTCACTGAAGAACATTCCATTCATTAAAGAAATACTGATGAATACCTGTTAAATGTTAGGAATTATGTTAGATGCTAGAACAGGAAGGAGGGAAGAAATGACTTTTGTCCTCATGTAATTTTCTGTATACTAAGCTGATAAGATATGGGAAATGATTACTGCTGTGAAAAAAGACAAACAAAATCACAGCTTTGCTGGAGTTCCATCCAGTGGGCTGTGAGGAAAGGTGCGTAAGCCTGCTGGGAGGGCCTGGCAGTGAAAGGAGGCAGGAAGACACGCAGGTGGGACTGGAATACAAAGGCGATTGGTTTAGGTTTGATCCTGTGGGCCAGGGAAGTTCACTTGTGAACTGCACAGTGATGCTGTGGTCCCGGGTCCATGGTCAGTGTCAG